AAAAAACCTAAAAAAATAAACACTTAAAAGAAAAAAAAGAGTAGCTGGTAGGTCTGTACCAACCTCTTGCTTCTGAGTTGGCAGTGTGATTCATTAGGGCACCAGAGCTCCCTCTAGGAAGGCCAGATACAAACTATACATACAGCATGAACCCACATATATTAACTGCAAAAGCAGGCAAAACTAGTCTATGGAGGCAAGAGTGACATAAGGGTTCCCTTCTGGGGCAGAATATCTGAGGTTCTGATTTCATTTTTTTTTATTCCAATGTTTATTTCACAAGTGGGCTCACACAGCAAAACTCACAGAGCTGTGCACTTAAAGCTATTGCATTTGTCTATATACATCAAAATGTTTTAGATATTTCTTTGTTTTTTAAAAAAAGAATAAAGTAGCAGTGAAAGGTGGAAAATTTTGAAATCATGTAACTTATATGCTTGGATATGGGTAAAACAAGAAATCACAGGAAAATACAAAATATTAAGTAAATGACTACTGGTACGGAATGGGTAAGATTAAGGTTAGGATAATGCTAGAGAGACATTTTCTTTTATGCAGCCTGTGCTTACTGGTTCAATTCTATAGCTATGTACGTAGTACCTTTTTTTTTAGTATATACTAGCTTTTAAAATTTTTAATTATTCTTTCTTAAGAAAAATGTAATGCACTGAAATTCAGCGCAATCAAGATAATGCAACAGCACCTAAAACAAAGTTGTACACTTCAAACAAAAACCTAATAGATTAAGAGGAACTGTCAAATGGTTTTACAGAATAGCTATACCATTTTATGTCTCACCAGCGCCATATGCAAGTTAAAATTCATTGCCATTTTTGTCAACATTTAACCTTATTTGTCTTAATTTAAACCACCTTAGTGGGGAGTTCCAGCAGCTTAGTCCATCCTCACCAGCTCTGTTGGCTCAAAAGCTGCGTGCTTTCAGTGGTTTGAATCCCCCAGTGGCTCTGACAAAGAAAGATGGGCAGTCTCCTCTACTTACTGTTTACAGCTTCAGAAACTCAGTGGACGGTCAACCAAGAGTAGGAACCAATTTGAAAGCAGAGAGTTTTTAATGGGAAATACCAAGGTTCTAATGGAAATGGAATTGCTCTAAAGAACTGGGAGGGGAAGAGTTGGTTCATGGTTACCTGACCACTGGGACTCTTTGTTGAAAAAATTCAGGGGCAGGAATTATAAATATGTAAAAAGTTTAACAGCACTTCTTAATTTTGCCAATGCTTAACCTGTTGCCCAAAGAAATGAGTAAGAGGAGCTCTCTTTTTTGTTCCACTTTCCTCATGATACATATAAAATCACTTTTATTCCTCATAACAAATTTTAAGAGATTCCACTCCAAGAGCTTAAGAACACTGTGACACTGATGTGCCAGATGTGATAATGGTTTCCCACAGTGGACAGTGTGTGGTGGAGCTCCCCGATTAAAACAAGCTTGGAAGCAGGAGTGGTGTCCAGTTCTGAAACAGCTTGCCTCCAGAAACTCTAGGAACTTGAAGACATGATGAAAATTATACACGTGCTCATGTCTTTTGTTCATAGACTCGCTATGAGTCGTCTACAACTCAACGGCACATAACAACAACTGTGGAGTAGAATCTCCACTTAAGAATTTTCTACAGCAATATACTTTAACATTCAAACAACAAGCAAACAAACCAACCTTAAAATATGTTTTTTTTTAAAACTATGGAATGATTATATTACTCTTAATTCTGGGTACTACATTCAAACAAATTAAGAATAGGCCTTCACCCATGGAAATGAAACTTTAAAAATACTAAAGTGATTAAATAGTTTTTAAAAAATTATGAAATCAGACAATGTTCTAAGATAAGAGACCATAAATTAACAATGGGTCAAGGACCAGAAACTATTCCCCTACTTCCTGTTTCTACAGATTTATTTCTTTGGACCAGTTTACCTGAGGGAGAAAGATGGGCAGTCTTGTCCTAGAAATATTTACAGCCTCCAAATTGCAATGCCAATGGTCAGAATCAACTTAACAGCTGAGAATCTGTTTTCTTTTTAAAAACAGAATAGTGATTAAGAACTGATAAATAAGTATTACACTAGCAAATCTTTTCTGATGCTTTAGTTCATAGCAGAAACTTAATAATGTCACTAGTAAGAATAATTTTTCAAGGGACATATGAATGGGTATTCTTGTCACTACAGAAGTCCAGAGTGAAGGCTGCACAGCGGAGTGGACTTGGGTGGAGGGAATGCATAACAAAGAGTTTTTCTTTTTCTTTTCAAGGAGAAGAGTTAATGGGGGGGAGAGGGTGTGCAACAATGAATGACTGGAAACCCTAAGTCTCTGTAAACTTTCATTAAATTAAAAAAAAAAAAAGGAATAATTTTTCAAACTACATGCACTAAAACAGAAGCTAAACTTGACCCAATCACTAGAGATCTTTCTAGAAGTATACAAACAATGCTAAACTTGACCCAATCACCAGAGAACTTTTCAGAAGTATATGAACAATGTTTTAATAATATGAAAGGCCCATTTGCTCAACATACATGAGGATCTTTAAGCATCATTTGCTTCAAGAAACTTCAATCCTTCCAACTCTAACTTGTATATGTATGACACAAATTACAAAAATCAAAATATACATTTGAATTTAGATAGGCAGGAATGTATATAAGCCAAAAAAAGAGTAATTCTATAGAAAAACAGTAACTGTATACATACAGATGTTGTTATGCACTGTTGAGTAGAACCAACACATAGGTGACTCTCCACTGGGTTTTCAGAGGTATTATATCGCAGAAGAGGATACTACCCCACTTTTTCCTGCGGAACAGCTGGTGGATTTGAACCATGCACCTTTGTATTGGCAGTGCAACTTCTTATCACTAGGCCACCAGAGTTCCAGATACATATACATATCATATGTTCCAAATACACATAATTTATATTACTGTTAGTAACTCTCTAAGCATAATTTTTCAAACACACCCAATTAAACATCTAGAATGTTACACTTTCATTGAAAAGACACTATGTTCACATTACATTGTTGTTGTTGTTAAGTACTGTCAAGCTGTAGACAACTCATAGCTACAAGCTGTAGACAACTCATAGCGAATGACCCTATGAACAAAAGACGTGCACATTTGTATAACTTTCATCCTTTCTCCAGGTTCACAGAGTTTCCGGAGGCAGGCGATTTATGGAAGTGGCTGCCACTCCTGCTTCCAAGCTTGTTTTAATCGGGGAGCTCCACCAAACACTGTCCACTGTGGGTAACCCTTATCGGATTTGACACTAGTCAAATCGCATTGACACTAGTGTCACAGCGTTTAGCTTCACAGCCAACCAGTCAACTTCCAGAGTGGAGGGAGACTCCAAAGGTCCCAGGCCCAGGCCAGCCCAGACCACAAGGTATATAAGAAAGAGGTTAGTTTTCCAAATCATACTTAGCATTTTACCTGTTAGGTCAATTTTTCTTTATTGTACTGTTCTTCTAAATCCCTAGCCATACCCAAGATCAAAGACTATAAGGACAGTAACACTTCTGACCACAAACAGGTAGGAAACACATTGTTAAAACCGGAAAGACATGAAATATGCAAAACGAAGGCATCTCTAAAACCTGTTTTGAAATGCACATACTTGTCCCAGCCGAGTGTTCCCAGCTCTTCAACGAGGCGTGAGTAGAATTGTGGAGGAGGTGGCCTGTGCATCTCTTGCTTATTCTTTAAAGCAACTTCCTGTTTAAAACAAACACAACCTGAGTCAGTTACAGAGTGCTAGAAAACAAACTGTTAATACGGGATTACGCGCCCCAAGTCTTTTCATGTTCTCTGTGCCCAACTCAACCACAAGGAGGAAGGAAGGGTCCACAAGTTTTACACAAAACCTAGCTGGCTCATGCTCCTTTTCATGAAGAAGTTAAAGGAACGGCACTAAAGGTCACACAAAATGTCATTTATTATACTGTGAAAAGAACTTAACAATTTTCATATTCTTCTAGACTAGCATGCCCACTGGTGATGAGCAAAGTGAATAAACGTGCTTAAAATAATTCTTTCTGAAGCCTCTCTTCTCTCCTAATTACCCTCATGAGTAAGATGCTTTGATAGAAAGAAATGTTCTGATACAAATGGACTGAAACTACACCGCCTATAATATGGTTTATAGTTACACTTTAATATGTAGTCTAACTTACAGCTATGTTACACTGTCATCAACTATATTCTTATCCACTAACAGTCTGTGTTTCCATAATCAATATATACCTCATCATTTCTTTCCCTTGTTATGTCCTGTTGAGATGGAAGTGACTCAGCTGACCCTCCAGCTGTGTTTTCAGAGCATGTAAAAAGTATAGGAGATGGCCATCCTTCGAAGAGCCACCTGTGGGTGAGAACTGTCTACCTTTGGAACGCAGTGCAACTCCTTACCAACCAGGCTACCAGAGCTCCCTTTCACTCCCTTAGGTTCGGTATTTTATTGCAAACACATAGTGACCTCATGTGACAAAGAACTATCCCAAAGGGCTTTCCAGATTATAGTCTATGAGAGCAGACATTCAGGGCTTTCGCTGGCAAAGGCTCAGGTAGGTTTGCTGTTGTTGCTATGTGCCATCGAGTTGCCTGTGATTCATAACGACCCTATGCCAAACAGCTCTGAACTCTATCCTGTCCTGAGTCAATCTTGCTGACTCTGACACACTTACCTCATTACCCTAAATACTGCATCAATTTATCTCATCTGGAGTCTTCCTCTCCTATGCTGTCCCTCCTCCCTTCCAAACATGATGTCCCTTTCCAAGGACTAGTCTCTTACGTGACACAAAGCTTTAAACTCCTTGCTTCCAAGGAGCAACTTGTTTTTACCCTTTTCAGGGCAAACCTGTCTATTCTCGACTTTATTGTTGCTGTTAAAGTGCTGTCCAGTCAAGCATGACTCACAGCGACTCGATGAACAAAAGATCTGAAGCTTGTTCTTTGACTACTGTGGTTTCGCTAAGTTCACTGAGTTTCCAGAGGCATGTTTGTTTAGGAAGTGGATGCCACTCCTGTTTCCAAGCCTTTCTTGATCTGGGAGCTCCACCAAACACTGTCCACCATGGGTAACCATTACGGCATTTGACACACAAGAGGCACAGCATTCAGCATCACAGCAACCATGAGTTACCTCAGTACAGCAAACTGACAGACCAAGACTGTACTACTTAGAAAAATGTTCATTCCAAAGACAATTAAAACCAGGCCTGAGGGCCTAATCACTTTTAAATCCACCTGGCTCTAAACAAGAAGATTCCAGCCCACAGCTCATTGTTAGTCAAATCATCAAATCCAATCAGCTCACACACAGTTGTGAAAAATAAATAGAAACAACCAAACAGTCCACACTCAGCCCTCAACCAAACAAGAAGAACCTACCCTGACATTATTAGTAGGACATTATTCTATTAACCAACCTTTTGGCTAGTAGCTGAAGACTTAATTGTTGTGCCAGTGGGGCCCCTTATTCCTCCATTACCACCACAGGCCACCTCCCCACTGCCACTGAATCAATCCTGATTCACAGCTACCTGCCACTGGACTGAGGCAAATCTATACAAGAGGAGACTGACCATCTTCCATGGAGCAGCCAGTGGATTCAAACCACCAACCTTTTAATTACCATGTTAATTCATTATGCACTACACCACCAGGTAAACCCATCTAAAACCCCTTAAAGTTAGAAATCTTATTTTAATTAGAAGAATATAAACTATTTTTTTAATCTAACACTAAAACCCAATAAAGAATTCATGAAACACTAATCAACATGGATGTGTTTAGAGGACATTATGCTCAGTTACATGAATCTCTCACAAAAGGGTTAAGGGAAGGGAGCTCTGGTGGCCTAGAGGCAAGAAGCTGCACTGTAGTCCCAAAGGCACATTGTTCAAATCCACCAGATGTTCTGCTGGAGAAGGAGGGACAATTGTCTCCTGTGCCAGTTGGATCCAATTTGATGGTACACAACACAACAACAAGAACAAAGGGTTAAAGGAAAGGTTTAAATACAGAATAATTCTTGAATGATCTGTAAAGGCAAAATGTATTTTTTTTTTAAAAGTATCAGAAACATATGTAGAATTGCTGGGACTGAAAATTAACAATTATTCTTGAAGTATTGACCAGATACTTCTCTTATTTAGAAAATAAAAGTAGATGTACCCATAAAATACTCATCTGCTCACAATCTGGGATATCAAACATTAGTCTAAGTAAAGGGATAAACTTAAAAGATAAATGAGCCCAATGAACAGCAAAATCAGATGAGAACAAGTCTATAAAAAATATTTTTAGCAAATATAACTCTAAAAAGATTTCATCTTTTAAAATTCCTCTAAACATAAGGTTAATTTATTAAAAGTTCTTGATTTTGTTTTGGGGTTTAAAAAAGGATAGAATGCGATCAAATTAGATTAACACTAGAAAGTTTTTACAAAAGAGGGTTTCAAAATAAAGCTTATTAACTATTAATTTAGTTCTCAACTTTCCTAGGACAAAAACTGAAAAGCAGGCATCTAAACCTCAAAACATCTATACAGGTATCTAAACCTCAAAACATCTATACAAGTTTAATAAAATGGTAGCTCCTAGAAGGCAAAAGGAATATACTGTATTTTTCATGAATATCTGGTATTATCCAAAAGCTAGCCTGACGGAGTTATAAATAAATTTGCACTATCAAGTTCATCCTTTAGTAACAGCTTATGAGACACGTGAAATAATACAGTTCCTATAGCTCTGCTGGCCTAGTGGGAAGAAGCTGTGCTGCAATCCTGAAGGCTGGTGGTTCGAGGCCACCAGCTGCTCCGCAGAAGGGTGGGCAATCTCCTCCCATGCAATTAACTGCCTCTGAAAACCTGCTGGAGGGTCAGCTATGGGTCAGTTCCGACTTGACGGTACACAACAGCACAACATATATGCACATAGAAAAATCACACAATATTTTTAAAATTTCTACCTTTACTCAGATAATCGATGCTAGTCACAAGCACTGAAGATTCAAAAAAGAATCTGGATAATAGTAAAAATGCTGGTTTGATCCTAGGTTAATGTCACATATGAACTCTGCCTTCCACATGGGGTTAGCCAAGCGACTGTCAGTCTACAATGCTAAGAAGCAGGAAAGACAGGGAAGCATCCCATTCATTATGGAGTATAAAAGAAGGTAATAGTGCAGAGCAGAGAAAACACAGATTTTACCAATAAGTTTTAAATTCCAACTTTAAGATTTCCTAATTTTCAGGCTAATATACCCTGCTATCAAAGGTAGGTAACAATGGCCTTCACAATTTCTTTCTATGCATCAGAGAACTGGATAATGACTAAGGATGACAGAAGAATCCATGCCTTTGAGCTGTGGTGTTGGAGAAGAGTTTTTAATAGACCATGGACTCCCAAGAGAACAAACAGGTTTGTCTCGGAGAAGGTAAAACCAAGTTTCTCTGTAGAGGCAGAGATTCTGAAGCTCTATCTCACATACTTTGGACATGTGGCCAGGAGGGACCAGTCCTTGGAGAAGGACATCATGCTTAGCACGGATGAGGGGCAGTGCAGGAGAAGATGAGATGGATTGACACGTAACTAGGGTAATGGGTAGAGTAGGGTTCAGAGCTATCGTATATAGGTTCACTATGAGTTGCAGGTGATTCAATGGCACATATCAACAACCACCACAATATCATTGGTAGGCTAGTGAAGGTTCACTTCTATCTTTCCTAAACCCACTGTGAGTCAAAGTTGACTTGATGGCACCTAACACTCAAGACCCTTGGTACCAGCTGTCTGGAGATCAGGAGATGTGGCGCTTTGGCAAAGTCTGCAGTCAGGTATCTCTCCAAACTACTGAGGAGCAACGATGTCAGTTTGAAGACCGAGGTGCATTCAGGCCTTGGTCTTTTTAATCACTTGCTACACATCAGAGCGCTAGACAATGAATGAGGACGACAGAAGAATTGATGACTTTGAGTTGCGGTGTTGGAGAAGAGTGCTGAAGATCCCACTGACTGTTGCCCAAAGTACAAACAGATATGTCATGGAGAAGTTGCAGCCAGACTGCTCCCTGGAGGCAAAGATGACAAAGCTTAGTCTCACAAACACTGGGCATGTTGTTAAGAGAGGTTGTTCCTTGGAAAAGGGCTTCATGCTCAGAAAGGCCAATATAAAGAGGGTCTCATCGTCAAAGAGATGGACCGACTCAGTGACTGATTTCTGCAATGGACTATATGTTAAAAGTGATATAGGACAAGGTTCAGATCCATTGTTCATAGGACGCTATGAATCATACTCGACTCAATGGCACCTAACAGCAATGTGACCGGTAAAATCTCTGGGAGTTTAGAGAAATTTCCAGAATAAATTCAGTAACTATTGATTCTATTTGGGTATCATTACCAAGAATTTCACTGGTTATATAACAAACCTATTATGAAAAAATAAACTAAATTCATTAACTAATGATTCTATTTGGGAATCACTGCCAAGAATTTCACTGGTGATATAACAAACCTATAATGAAAAAATAAACTAATACTTGCCCCATCTTTTTAAGTCAATATGCTAACTGGGCAGTTAAAAAATTACCAGTTCTCCTCAGACAGGTTTTCAGATTTACTCTGAAAGGTAGCAACAAACGTATTAAATAGAATACTAGGCACCAAAGATCAACTCAATATTTTACTTTAGTTATAAACTGAAAAGTATTTCTTCAAAATTAAATGACATGTACAGCTCTGACTTTCAGAACAAAGAGCTTAATGGAACATGATATATATTTTTATTCTAGTTCTCTTACAAAAATAACTTAATAATTACAATTAAAAGGATAAAATACAATTTCCAAGGTTTTTCAATGTTACAGGCATGTGAATAAAAGTATGTTTTTCACACACACACACACACACACACACACACACACACACAAAATGCTTCACTTGTTCACCTAAGTTTCTTAAAAGGGATAATAATCTTCTTAAAGATGATTACAATCTTTGATCAAATTTAGAATTTTTATATATGGATTGAGGCTCCATGTCAAGAAGACAAAGATTCTCACCACTGGACCAACTGGCAGCATCAGGATGGATGGTGAAGAGATTGAGATTGTTCACAGCTTTAGTCTGCTTGGCTCCACAGTCAACACTCTTGGCACCAGCAGCCAAGAAATTAAAAGACGTATTGCCATGGGAAAGTCTGCTGTTAGGGACCTCTCTAAAGTACTCAAGAGCAACGGTGTGTCTCTGGAGACAAAGGTGCATCTGGTACAGGCCATGGTCTTTGCAATCAATTGTTATGCATCAGAGAGCTGGACAATGACTAGGGAGGATAGAAGGAGAATTGATGCTTTTGAGCTTTGGTGTTGGAGAAGAGTGCTCAGAGTGTCATGGACTGCTAGGAAAACAAACAGATTCACCCTGGAGAGGGTTAAACCAGACTGCTCCTTGGAAGCAAGGATTCTGAGGCTTCATCTGACACACTTTGGTCATGTTGTAAGGAGGGACCGGTCCTTGGAGAGGGACATCATGCTTGGGAGGGTGGAGGGCAGGCGCAGGAGAGGAAGGCCCTCAGGGAAATGGATTGATTCAGTGACTGGGATAATCAGGATGAGTGTGTCGGAGACAATGAGATCGGCACAGGACAGAGCAGAGTTTAGAGCTGTTGTACATAGGGTCGCTATGAGTCGCAAGCAACTTGACGGCACATACAACAGTGTTTACAAATTCCTACTTTAAAATCAACATCTTAATGTTTAATTTTTAAACTCTTTGACAAATACTATATCAAAGTGCTCATTGAAGAGGACTATATAAAGAACTGAGAACAAAATCAAGTAAGCAAGTTCTCAACATATGGTAACGGCTGCTAAGAACAAAAAGGTCTCAAATGGAACCATCAAGTAATATCAAGGGATTACAGTGGCTGCCAGCAATATTGATATTGCTGTTCTGATACAAACACAAATAAACACATATGTATTAAAAGCAAATAAGTAACTCTATTAACAACATAAATCATGATTTTCAGAGTAAAGGGGGGGAAGAGTCAAGCATAAAAACAAAAGTCGTAAAAACTCTACAGTGTTGAATTATAACGGGAAATATCACTACGAACTCAAGATTGTTTTCTTCCTTATAAATACGTCCCCCCCCCCCAAGCTTTACCCAATGAAAAAGCCCAAGAGCCATAGGAATAAGCACTCAAGCTCCTAGACCGTGGGGGCTGTACATTATCTCTCACAGACAAGCCATGGCTGTGTGGAGAAATGTACTATTCTCTGGTGGCCTAGTGGTAAGAAGCTGCACTGCAATCCCAAAGGCACACGGTTCAAGACCACCAGCTTCTTCCAAAGGAGGATGGGCAATCTCCTCCTGTGCAATTGACTGCCTCTGAAAGCATGCTGGAGGATCAGCCTTGGGTCGGTTCTGATTCAGCGGCACGTTAACAACAACTAGAACCACACAATTCTGGAACAGGGTGAATAGTAAAATCAGGTCAGTCAGTAGCAGACAGCAAAGATATTCAGGTTGAATTAAAAGAATTCAGAAGTCTGGGAGCTCTGGTGGCCTAGTGGCAAGAAGCTGCACTGCAATCCCGAAGGCATGCAGTTCAAATCCATCAGATGCTCTGCTGGAGAAGGAGAGGCAATCTTCTCCTGTGCCTGTCAGATCCGACCCAACAGTATACAACAACAACAACAACAACTAAGAATTCAGAAATCAAGGTGAAGGAGCTTACAGTGGCCAAAAATGGGAGCAATTTCTGCATCAAAAAACTAATGACAATGGACAAAAATGAAGAATGTAAAATGCCTAAGTTCATAAAGATAGCAAACAAAAAGGCATTAGCTCACTTTGATAGTTGCTCGGTACCAATTTATTCTTAGCAACAGATTTTTTTTTTCCAAAGGGAAAAAGAAACAAGTATTTCTCCTCTCCCCAGGATGCACTGACCTCAAGTTAATCAAATAACTGATGAGAGAAAGTGCTTCATAGAATAATTTTTAGCTAATGAATGCAGAAACGATGATAGAATTGTCACCAAACTGTAACTTCTTTTTTTTTTTAATTTAGGTT